TTTTTTAAGAGCATATATGAAACCAGCAGAGAAAATATATGAATTGCGAGAATTTTAAATGATCGCTGTCGTTGTGCTATTTCAGATCTGAAGCTTGGATCTTCTGCGAAACTGGCACCCCGGCCTATACAGAGTACATGGATGTAAAATAGCTTTTAAAAACCTACACTACTGTAATTGCTGCACCAAAACACCATGAAGACCTATAGGCCTATCGATGGTAAAAATTTACAATGAGCATATTTTGTCTCCCCAATTAATTACCCGGGGACAAAGTATCACTTTTCTATTACAAAATATAAATAAAGTCTACGAGGGATGACCATATGCGAGTCATGCTATCATAATACAAATGATAAGTGCAATTAAAACGCATGATAATAATTCTTTTTAAGAAATGTTACTCACGTGCACAGAATGTGTGTGGAAGAGAGGATGAAAATGAAAGCAGAAAGAGTGTGTAAGGGTATGCGCACATATGCGTGTGTGTGTGTGTGTGTGGGTGGGTGTACGTATGTGTGTGTGTGTGTGTGTGTGTGTGTGTTTGTGTGTGCGCGTGTATGTGTGTGAGTGTGTGTGTGTGTGTTTGTGTGTGTGTGTATTATGTGTTTGTGTGTGTGTTTTTGTGTGCGTGTATGTGTATGCGCGCGTGCGAAGTGCGAATGAAAAACCAAACCAATGTGCCAGGGTCTGGACAATCCTATCCACAGAATTCTATGATCCTATCTTATCTTATATCTCTAATGTAGGGCCTAGATGGAAAAGCACCGAATGTGTGCGATAATAACATGAATCATGCAGAGAGATTAGATTTTCTGTCAACAAGAGCACCTCGCCGAAGAAAGATGATAGATCTAATATTCGAAGCCAAAATGGCAAATTGTCTCGAACAGGTGTTTCGAACGAATTTTGAATTTTTGTTTGGCCTAGCCCTATTGTAGAATTTATACTAGGCCGGATATCAAGAAGGTGGTGATGATTTTTCTGACACTGTACTTTCATAAACATGTTTTTTGGAGACAACCATTTTAGAATTAATACTTGTAATTAAAAAAAAAATCATTTAATACTTGTTTCGAATTAGACGTAATGCAAAATTTTGTACCAAGCTAACCACTGAGATTTGGCCCATTATTTTGATTTTCGCAAGCTTCAAACAAGAGTGATCTACTCTTGGTTCTGCTTCATCGCACCTGGCAAGAGAGGGCGCCACCCGTCGCTAGCGGGAGATGCGAGCTTGGTCAATGAAACACCAAGGCAGGTGATACAGTTTGACTGACACAGACAGTGCCCCCAACTAGCTCTAGGCCTAATCGCGTGTGGCGTGTTTGCGAGTTGTGTAAAATGTGAAACAGTTTGAATCCATGACGCGGGACGCGATCAAAACAAAGCATGTCCCAAAAAGTTTCTCGCGAGGAAGGTAAAGTTAATGCCTCAAAAAACTTAAATGTGGCATCAAAGTGTCTCGCAATTGTTTTGGTTTCGAAAACTGGGAAGAATTCAGGTGGTTTGGATAACAACAACGACGCCGTCGACGAGGCGGATGAAACCGTGGTAGATGCAAGTGATGGAAATGTTATTGTTCAGTCTTCTGAAGTTCAGAAAGCTCTTTGGCCAAATGGATATAATGGCAAAGAGCTGTTGCAAGATTTCAAAATTCGAAATAGGACGTGTTACTGGAACCCTTCGCTCGTGGAAAGTATTAAAAGTCTGGAGTACAAAGGATTCTTTGAGCCGTCAACAATTCTTGTGACTGCTGCTGATATTCATCTTGAAAATCTTCGTTCCGCATGGGGCCGGAGAGTACTAAAAGCCCCCGCTGGTTTCAGCATAGAAAGGATAGGTAAAAAGCATTGCATTCTTCTTTTTCTTTTGTCTTTTTGTTGATCTATCTATAAATTGTCGTTTTGTCAAATGGAAATAGATCTAGAATCTAGATAGAAGATCTAGATCTAGACTAAATGAAGTTTGCGGATGTCTTTTCCGATGTCTTTTCACACGAACCATCGATTTTCCACCGTTTTGGAGTTGGAGGAATCAAAAAGACAATTTGAAGAAAAGAACAACAATGTCCTAATGTCAATGGAGCAGCAATCACCCTCTCTATTTCTGTCTCTCACTCCTTCTCTCTCCCCTCTTTTTTGCCTCTCTGTCTCTGTCTCTGTCTCTCTTTTTCTCTCTCTCTCTCTCTCTCTCTCTCTCTCTCTCTCTCTCTCTCTCTCTCTTTCTCTCCTCTGTGTATCGCTCGCCTTCTCTATCTCTTTGTTTGTCTCTGTCTTTCTTTCTCCCTCACTTACTTTCACACTCTTGTCTTCTCTCGTTCCCTCCTGTCAACTGGGGCATGTGATATTTGCTGGCACTTCCCCCTGACCCTGTTCTCTACCCCCTCCTCTCTCTCTCCCCCTCTCTCTCTCTCTCTCTCTCTCTCTCTCTCTCTCTCTCTCTCTCTCTCTCTCTCTCTCTCTCTCTATCTCTCTTTCTCACACACACACTCTACCCGGTCTGGGCGCTGAAACTTTCCGAAATCACAAAAGATTTCCCCTACCGGGTCTGTATACTTCGTGACTTTGTTTCCGGTTACCGGGCCTGTATACACTTCGATTAATTTATTGTTCATTCTGGACACTTATACTTATATAAGGACAAAATCTGGTAAATTTTTACTTTCACTCCCGCACACAGATGCACTGTTTCAGGGGTCAAACTGCTGTACTGTTTGCTGCAGATCACACATAAAGCCACTAAAACTGTCGCAAATCAATTATTTTCAAGACAATTTCAAATCTAACTGTAAAATATAAAATTATGGG